TCTAAGGGTAGTGTTGGTGGGGGGGGGGGGGGAGCATTGTACTAAAAACCATGCGATTTTACCATAAGTATGATTTCTAAACAAAATACCTGGCGCTTTGCCATATTTAGTATTTAAATCGAAAGCGACTTGTGGAACGAGCAGTATGTTTTTAATAAAGCCATCGTAGATTTTTATGGCATCTTTACACGTTGATGGCTGCGTGCACTTTCAAATTTAAATTTTTATTTAAAAGAGAGAGAGAGAGAGAGAGATAGAGAGAGAGAGAGAGAGAGAGAGAAAAACTACGAAATTTATCAGTTATATATTTTCATAAATTTTCATTTACAGTGAAATTGCAAATGTTCTACAAGTACACGACGTATAGCGAACAATATTAACGTACATTGCAATCGTATTATTACAATTTTTATTACGTTCGATTGTTAATAACATCTTGTTCTACGTGATAAATAACAATTACGACACTGATAAACAACACGATGAAAGTAAACAATTGGAAATAAATTGCAAATCCTTTAACGCGCGTGAAAGTCGATCGATTGATTTTCTATCGCATACATTCGGTTTGGTTGTTGTCAAGTAATTAAATAAACATCATCGAGCCTGTGAACCAACCCGTTCTCTCTCTCTCTCTCTCTCTCTCTCGCTTTAAAGGCGAATAAAAACTGCAGATAAAGCATCGGCGTCATCTAATTCTCGTCTACTGGCTCATCCATAATGCGCGATTGCACAGTGCACAATGCACTTTCGACGCGGGTCGCCACTCCGATGACAGAGACGGACGAATCACTTCCGGGCATCGGTATCGGCTGGTAAACATCACGATGGCTTGCTCGAACGGTATTTGGCATCAGTGTTACACTGTGGCTCGGCAATAAACCAACTGCTCGTTAGGTGGGGGAGAAACGGCGCGTGCTCCATGCGCGCAAAGCACAGCTGCTCCTGTTTACTGACAAATGCGCGTCAAGGAAACGTAGCGTACACATTATATGCCAAAGCCACCGCTATTTCGCGTACTTTGCGTAATTCCTCGTAAGCAATGAAACGCAGCGTATAAGGTAGAAGAACGAGGACGAAGACGCGGACGTGGACGTGGACCTGGACCTGGATCCGTACGTAAACGTGGACGTGGACGTGGACGTGGACGACGAGGACGAGGACGAGGACGACGACGACGACGACAACGACAACGACGACAACAACGACAACGACAACGACAACGACAACGACAACGACAACGACTACGACTACGACTACGACGACGACGACGACGACGACGAAGACGAAGACGAGGACAAAGACAAGGACGACAGCTAACCGAGAGAAGAGCAGAACAATAGAACAACACACGAGTAAAGTGAAATCACAAAACAAAGATATCCGTTTACTTTTGGATAATGCATTAGTGTAGTCTTTTAAATTTTCGCCATGGGAAATCTCAAATGTGACGCGATAAATGTGTAAAAGCTTACGTCCCGTAATGCGACACTAAATACAAATAATCTACGGATGCGTTGCTTCCACCTTCTTTTTTTCTCATACAACGCTTTTTCGAGCTGATTGGCTTTACGCAAGAACGAGTCCAAGGTAAGCTAACTACGCGCAACATATATCTATATATATATATAGACCCTTAACGAGAAATTAACCCTAATTTGAGAAACTCGGATGAATGTAGTAATCTATTTTTTCTCCTTATTTCTTTCTTCTCTTGTTTTTATTTCTTTGTTTGTTTGTTTTTTGTTCGTAAGAAACCTTATGCCTCTTCTTGTTACACAATGCAATACAATGTTTCGTAAATATTCGTAATTTTAGGGTTAGTTACGTAAATAATATCCACTGCTCTATATGCGCCCGTACGTAAATTTCAGCTTCAAGAGCGAATATTTTATTTAGCTCGTTTTCTCTTTGTTTTGCTTTTTATTTTTAATTATTCTATGATATATTTTTAGTGCTGATTTAGTTGCTTTCTTCCATCTCTTGGCAGGACTTTTCAATGAAGTGGAAATGGATTAGAGTTGTAGTAATGGAGAGGGCTCGTAATGCAAGACCCGAAGCGAAGTTTATCCTTTAAAACCGAATGACTGAATGTGATCTTACAGAATTCACAACAATGCATTATACCTCAACAAGTGATACACTAATTTGAGGTTAGGTAAGAGACAATGAATCAAAGTTTATATTTGTGATGCTTGCCCTTGTACTTTCATTAAAAAAAAAAAAAAAAAAAAAAAATTTCACATCGATGTTGACATACATTTTTGTTTTACAAGCATTTTTAGTTTGCAATTATGGCGCATTTAATGCGTCGTTTAAATAGTAAATATTCTCATTGTAACTCTTCATTTTTTTCATACTTGTTATGATATAACAAAGTATATTAAATTTGCTGTCAAAACTACTAATAATGCTTTATCAGAATTCAGCTATCATAGGTGATTGTTTGATGAAGTTTTATATAATAAAAATAAATAACGTATTTTTAATAATTATAGAATAATTTTCGTTTAATAATAATGATCTATTAGAATATTTATTCTATTAATTCAAGCTATATTTAATAAATATTCTATATTCTATTTTATATATTTATTTTTTAAATTAATTAATTTGTACATAATTTGTATTCTGTATATTAATTGATTTCAATACAATACAACTAAGTGGATAATATGAATTTATTTATTTTTAATAATATCATTAATTATAACATAGTAAATATAATAAAATTAATGTAATTAACGTGTCCTTATGCTATATGCAACATATTATTTTTAAAAGTATTGCAAGAATATATAAAATAACACTAGTTCCTACTGACAAGTTGAAGAGCTACTATACAATAATACAAGTAACGTTGAGTAGCCGAGCATTGCATAAAACTAATTAATAATTTAAATTATATTCAATAAGTGCAATGACATTCTTATCTGATTCATAATTCAGAAAACGATGAATAATTACTCAGTTAAATTTGATTTTTCAACTCTTTTATGTTTTTTTTTTTTTTTTTTTTTTTTTTTTTTTTTTTTTTTTTTTTTAAATTAATTAATAGAAATATATTGCAAATATTTGTACAAATATACGAAAAATCTTTCTACAAATGTGGAATCATAAATAAATATGTATGTAATCAAATGAAAATAAGTAATAAGAAAGAATGTTATTTTTGTATACTTCTATTTAATTGGCAATATTTAAAAATTATAAATAGCGAACGTGCTGCACGAATTTTCACCTTATTCGAACATATATTTATTTATTTTTAATTTAAAAAATTCACATAAAAAAGTGACAGTCATTATCATATAGAATGGATATTTTCTGTTAAGTTAACTCGATGCTTAATCAGTTACATTTGAATATCCTATGAGAATGTTAAATAAATAAATTACTAGATATATTACTAGAATTACTAGAATATATTTAGAATAGATTATTTAGATTTTAATATAGATCTAAATATTTAGAATATTTGGTTAATTTAGAACTAGAAATAGAATAGATTAAGTTGTTTACATAAATATTACTACTATGAGACTATGCATTTATGCAAAATCTTATAAAATTGAAAATCCAATATTAATTAAAAATAATATCTAGTTAGTACTGAATTTCAATTATAACGATTTTCGTTTAAATAAATTATTAATTTTATGGAAACAAGCTGTATGAAAGTATAATCTACAATTAAATTCATTTTTTTTTTTTTATTTTAAAAATAATTATTTTCAATTATTGCAATTATAAATAGTTTGACTATGATTTTTAAAAAGAAATATTTTTTAAACTGTTGAAATGTATTTTTATACTGTAATATTTTTACACGAGATAAAACATTATTCTTCGCATAATATCTATGTATTATACTTTTGAAATGACATTTTACAATGACATTTTACATTGAATCGGTGTAAAGGAATCATTTGTAGGTGCGTGTATTTTCTCATGAGCCATTCGCTAAATGAAATTCATATTCACGTAAAATTATTATTTATGTAAAATACTAATATAACGCTAAATTTACAGTCTTATCAAACGTGACAATAATATTCATTTAATGTCCGTAAAATAGAATTTATATGGCGCATAAATAGTTTATGCTTTAAAAGAAGAGGTAGAGGAAAGTCCACGATAACAATATATTGCAATTTCAGAAGTTATCATGAACGCGAGAACGCAACTATTTGAGCTGAGTATGGAGGGCCGGCAAGTAGATGAGGCGGTGGCCAGCATCTTTCATAGCGTCCTCTTCCACCGGAGCCTTGGTAAGTTCAAGTACAAAGAGGAAGGCACTTACTCGGTTGGTACGGTGGGCTACCAAGACGTAGACTGCGACTTCATCGACTTCACCTACGTGTGCTGTTCATCGATTCTCTTAGATCAGACTCTTAAACGTGAAATCTCCGGTTTCTCAGAGGCTTTACGTTCAACTGGGAGCCCAGGCTCAGGTCAAATATCCTTGGAGTTTTTTCAAAAGAAAAAGAATCGATGGCCTTTTCCACCAGAGTGCATTCCTTGGGAGGTGTGGACCGTCAGGCTCGAATTGATTAAATTAGCCACGGAACACGAAAGACAGATCTGTCGCGAGAAAGTCGGCGACTTATTAACGGATAAAATTTTGTATATAACTGAGGTGATGAATCGACACGACTATTTACCGAAGATGCCAAATCAAGCTGAGCTTGATCTCATCTTCGATACCTCGTATCCAGATATACAGCCCTATTTATTCAAGCTCTCGTTCACAACCTCTGGACCATCCAGTACCACTATGGGGAATACCATGAAAAAACTGATCAAGGAAACTTTGTCAATGTAGTTGTGATGTATAGTTGAAGGATACGTTGTTATTTAGTTTTGATTTCTTAATTCATTTTGTTTTCGAGCGTATACCATTCTTGTTTTATAATGCTGATTGTATATTATTTCTAATATGCTTAAATAGTTGTTATTAATTGAGAGAAATAATTCTATGATATTTTTGTGTTTAATTTTTCAAAATTTAATGTCTATTGAAATGATTAATTGGTTCATAAAATTTACGTGTACTATAACAGTGACTTTTATTGCATAAATTACGCATAGACGTATTTATATACAATAATTAATTTGGGAATATAATGTTTATAATATATGATAGCCGAAGAGTAGATTATGTTAAGGAGTAATGATTGATTTCAATTTGAACATTTGAAGATTCTAGAAAATATGTGCTCAGTAATCCTCCAAAAGTCTATTAAGGCGGCGTCGAATCTAAACTACCGACAAAGCAATGTTACATAAAAATGTATTTATTTATTTTTTAAATACATTATTTCAGTTTGCTAAAGTATGATATTTCTAAATGACATATTGACTGTGTAATATTAGAAAAGAAATCTCTTCCTGTAAATAATGTTTCATTTTTGTACAAAAAGTTAGTAAATTTGAAAAATTATAAAATAACTGATTAAGAAAAATTATTAGCATTGAAAAATTAAAAAGATTTTCCCATCTTTAAAAAAAATTGTGATATAAGCGCGTTTTTCATTAATAATACTAGAGCTAGATATCAAATTACTTTAATAATCTAAAATTTATCCTTAGTAATTTTAAAGAGCAGTTTTTTATCCAGCAGCTATGTTCTTTGCAGAAACTTGTTTATAACTTGTATAGTACAAATGCTTAAATTAAGTTATCCTGTATCTACAAAATAAAGAATAAATACAATTGCTGATCAATCTAATTATAAATTGATAGAGAAGAAAATAATGTATACTTGCATGGTGATTGATTCTTGAAAATTCTTCAAGATATAATAGTAAACAGATATGTGTAATACTAAAAATAAACAAACAAAAATTTACGCACGCTTAAGGCATCATTGATAAATGATAAGTAATCTATCACGGTTTAATATATAATTACAATCTTTCATTGCTAGGATGGGCGAGTGGTGTACGAAGTAAGTACCCCAGCCTATGAAAGTGACACCACTAGTGATACGACGCTTTATCGCTTTTTTCCAAAATTCAACAGGTCTATACTTCAAACTCCAGTACATTACTTTTTCACGCAGGAGTTCAATAGGCAAAATAAACGACAACTGTCGCATGCATATTTGTTATGGGCTCTTACGCGAATTGCCATTTATATTATAACTAATTAGAAGATTAGAAAATTTGTATCGTTGACTAGTGCTGGAGTACTTACTCTACAAATTTATTCAATTATATAGTTCAATACTTATTTGTTGTAAAATGCGAAAATTTTATGAATTTAGAGATAAGTTTTTAGGGACAGCTAAAGAATTTTCTATGTTCCACATATTAAATAATTCTTAACCAAGGTTAATAGTCTAAGCATCAGGACGTATAAATCTTACACAATTAACAATAGTTTGCTGTTTTCCGATTATTTTATTATTATTTTTTTGTAGATAACTTTGTGCCTTGTGGCGATTTTAGAAACCCTTCCTCGCATTGACGTAGAAATGAATGGCCAAATTTAACTAATGAGGAGTGGTTCATTGCTTTGTAACTACACGTTTAACAAATTAGCATGTAGAGTTATGTAGCTTAATTAAGCCTTAAAGTCAAATAAATATAGTTAATACTTAAATTTACTTAGATTAATTTTCGTTATAAACTATTTGATAATTTGTGTAATAGATCTATCGGAAATGATAGGAAAATTATCCAGACAATTTTTGCTGAATTTAATATAAAGTGAATTACTGTGATCAAGACTTCATTAGATACACGCAGACGCCCGCGTGCGCGCACACGCGTAGAGTAAAACCATAGGCCACATTGAATTGCGATATATTCAAGCCATTCTCGTTGCTGCGGTTATAAGTACTTTAATTTTATCATATCATAATAAATTGGTCATAGGTATATATCCAAATAGTATATTACATTTGCTATGGATTTAAGAGTAATTATTGCAACCGAGGCCCAATGTATACATTTTATTTCACGTAAAGTACATGAGATCTATTTATTATTACTACCAAATACTATACGACCACATATTGGATGTGAGTCGCATAGTTACGACCGAAGCAGTCGATATTTCCTAACTTTTGACAAGTACTGTACAGGTAATCTGTATAAAACAGTCTCTCTTTTCTTAATTTAACCCGAGTTTTATGCTTACAAAACACGCCAAATAAATCATTAAAATCCATGAAGTCTTAATAACATAATATGAGATTAACATTTCATGATTAGGCTTAATTAAGATATAATTCAATGACATGCATATGTGTAGCTAAATCGTAAAGTTATAAGTAATTTAATGTTTTAACATGATTAAATTACTTTTACTTTTAATATCATAAAAATTTATTCTACTTTAAGATAAAAATTAAATATGTAATTGCTATTTTTGTATTTGAAAGTTAAAAGTGAAAGATTTTGTATAACTAGTATACAAATGAATTGATATTATAAATTGATACTATAAAGTAATTTAATTAGTTCGCGCTGTAAATGTCTAATTTATAAAATATTAATATGAATTATAATTGTAAAAACAATATTATGATAATAAAAATTGACATTTATACGTAAAAAGTGATTATTAAAACAAAATCGAGTGGTTAAATTCGTATTAACTATATATATATATATATATATATATATATAACTTGAAATTCATATAATTTTTATCAAAATATTGTTTTTAATGAATCTAATTACAATTTATAAGTGATTCTTAATTAAGTATTCTTCATTAGTTAAATCAAGCAAATTTTCTATGTATATGAATTATTTAAAACGATGCATATAGTGATATACTTGATAAGGAATCAATCGAATAGATTCTTTGTTACATTTTACTATGAAAATATTGACCATTAGTATGAATGTGACACATATTTGTAAAGTATATCAAATAAATATAATGTAATATAGAAAAAAACATTTCTTCAATCCGATGAAAAAGATTGAATATAGAAATTGATAGTAAATCTTACAAATACAAATATATATATATGTGCGATGAGCGAAATGAAGAAAAAAAAAATACAAATGTCCTTTACGGTTAAGGAATCTCGGCGAAAATTTTGAAAGAGCCGCTTATAAATAAATATTAATAAGACACCGAGTGAGGATACCATAAATGTACATTAAGTTAAGAATCATGAATCTACGAACAGATAAATGATTCTATTATTAATATACTGCTGTATTTTATAATAAAAAAAAAAAAAATAATAATAATAAAAAAAAATAATAAAACAGAGAGGGTGAGGTGGTTCTTATAAACATGAATGTAATGCAAATGTTACTGTTAATGAATTAACAATTTTCGTTTGTGTGGGATTTTGATGTTTTGCTTGCAGCTACTCTTAGATAATTTTTTATAGTAAATTTTTTTATAATTTATGTATATATATATTTGTTTGTCGAAAAATATAATGTTTAGAAATTAAAATTTTTCTACTTAGGCATTAACGACTCTCAAGACATAATTAATTTTTAATGTTATAAAATATCTAAATTTTGCTTAGTATAATCATAGAAATATAGATATTCTTGTTTGAAATTAATCCAGCCTTTTATAATAGTTGCAATCGTATTTTTTGTTTAATTTATAGTTTATTAGATTATTTGTCTATGAATCTGTTTTCATTTTTTACAATTTTTAATTCAATAAAATTTGATATTTAACAAATATCACATAAAAATAACATAGTTATCTAATTATTTTTTCCATTACCCGTTACTAAAAAATTTTCCTATTTTTTTGTAATTTTGAGAATTCTTTCTTCAGTGTATACAATTTAAATCTCAAATTCATACCCTACGATTTTTTTTTATTTAAATGACAAAAGAAATGCTATTTTTTTAATTTATTTATTTTGCTTGAAATAGTGTTCAAATAATTAATATTAGGTAAGAAATTCAAATGATTAGTACATAACTTTTATATTTATTATAATATATAAATATTATTTATATTATATATTTTAAACACATTATAATCAACAGATTTTAAAATAAACTCTAAATATCAAGTGAAAAATTTTGTATATTTATATATTATCAATATATATCTTATGTGCGAATTACATTTCCATCGCAGCTATCTTTAATTAGTTTTAACGATTTTTCAATGTCTTAAATTTTTTATATTACTATTGCCGAACCAATGTTATTCTTTATTAATTTACTTTTTATTATGATTATTTAAATAATGTCTATAATATATAATATTCGATATTTCCTAAAGAAATTCTGCATCATAATAAATAGTCTTTATAATCCCCAAATTATTTATGATATTAAATTAGTGATTATGTACCTTTGAAAAGAATATCTTACATAAAAAAAATAATCTTAATGATTATCCTTTTAAGTATTACTCAAGGAAAATAGGTCTATTCTTTAGAAACTTTTATATAATTCAGGTTTATTATTATTGATTAAGTTTCATGTAACATTTTAATTAATCACTACATGTAATGATTTATTGCAACGTATATTTAATATATTAGTTATACATTTTTGATAAAACATAGTGTAATACTTTCAAGTGTAAATATATATTTAAATTTGAACGCGAGAATGTATGACAAATTCTATATAAATTTATTATATATTATTAAATAATGGAAGTAGTTTGCCTAATATAGAATTTTTTTTTTATATATTGATAAAACTGACATTATTTTAAATTTTAAATAATCCTTTTAATTTTTAAATTGTACAAAAATAATACTGAAATTATCTGCAAATTTTTTAAAAAAGATGTTTTATTTTTGCGTGGTATTTTCACATCTGCATCATGTAAAAATTGTTAATTTAAAATACTGAAAATGTTTAGTGTTCATTTTTAATTAATGAAATCTATTAATAAAATAAATTATCAAATCTTAATTAATAAAACAAATAAGAATTATATTGATATTATGTTATTTCTCTTTACAGAGATTCATCGTTTTACTTAATCTACTAGCTTATAGTGTTATATATATATATATATATATATAT